CTCAGAAATGTATTAGATCTTTTCAAAACCACCTATGGAGAGCTAATTCCCCTTATTTGTCTTTATTTTTTCTCTTTTTTTGCCACTTAATTACCCCAACTGGCACTGATGCCTTCAATAGCTATGATGTTAAGCCACTGCCTCTGACTTTTTTTGGCAAATGCCCTATAGATTCTGCTTTCCTTAACCAATGAGCTCTGAGTCAGTTGAAATAACGATAAACTGAGAATGGAACTTTTCCAGGGAGTTCCAAGATGGGTCAGATAATGACAATATTTTTAGAGGAGCTCCAAACCCACTCTATCCATTCCTGTGGCTGCTGAACTTCTGTTTCAGTTACTGTCATTCCAAAGTGGCTGCTGAACTTCTGTTTCAGTTACTGTCATTCCAAAGTGGCTGCTTTTTAAGGCTTCTATAGAGATGGAAGGAATGAGATGGGAGTAAGGCAACTTAAAATGCCACAAAGCTTAATATTCTCAACAAATTCAACTATTTGAATAAACTCTATTGAATAACCAATCCTTTGGTTAGTTTTAGGAGCTCTTAAAATGGTGACTTGACTATTATTTACCAGTGTTCTCATTGCTTTTATGGAAAAGTGGATTTTTGGAGGTCTTTACTTTGCCAATGCTGCTTTCTAAAAACTGAATAATTTATTTAAATCATAAATATTTACATGTACTACAGTACTGATTTTTAAGTACATCATAAATTACTTGAAAGTAGAAATTTAAAACAAATGTAATGAAAAGTAAATATAAATAAAATTTCTGATATTCCCTATTTTACCTCAATAATTTATCTTCCTGGGATTTGAGCTGTTTTTGGAGACTTTTGTAAAAATTTTATTTCTAGTGTGATTAAGGGTGTAAAACAATTTATCAAGGCTTATAAGTTCTATTGATCATGAATACTGATAATAAATATAATTACAGTATAATTTAAAATTTTTAATTTAAGTTTTAGAAGAAGTATATGTTTAAACCTTCAAACATCAGAGGGTATTCAGGAGTTCTCTTTTTTTTAAGCAAGGGCTTTAAAGAGCATAATATCCCATGGGTTATTTGGCTCTCACAGAGTAGATCAAGAATGAACAAACTACAGTGTGTTGGCCAAATCCAGCCTGCTGAAGGCCAAGTTTAGCCAAACCCATTTGTTTAAGCTGCTTTAATACTACAAAGGCAAAGTTGAGTAGTTGTACAGACTGTATGTCCCTGAAAGCCTAAAATGTTTAATATCCCTTCACATAAAAAGTTTTCTGATTTTTAAAGTTGTTTTCATTGGATGTTCTTGGGATGTATTCAAGTCATTAACCATATTTATGAATAAGTACATATTTCTGGGTTCTATCTTAGGTATCATAACATCAAACAGTTACTTGTTCTCTGATTTTCAGTTGAGTTTGGTAGATGCGGAACGCTGCTGGTAGACTCTTAGGAGAGAGGGAGAAAAGTGAGGTCAAAGTGTTTCTTGTGCTTGTTTCTTTCCTCCAAGTTCCTCTCATTTAGATGGCTCTCTTCATCTATCCTTCTGTGTTTCAGTGGCTTCATAATCAGCCCTTTCTTCACACCTTCAGGTTGTAGGGAGAGTATTTGAAAACTTACTATTGGGGGGGGTTATTAAAAATTCTTAGTAGTTTCCTTAATCTGTATCCACACTTTTATAAATAATTCTCTTTTTTAGACTCCCATAAATTATATTCATTTTCATTTGCCTTCCCTTTCAAGCTGGAAATCTCATACTGCAAATCTTTCTACTCTTCTTTTTTAATTTTTATTTATTTATTTATTATTTATTTATTTATTTTAAAGATTTTATTTATTTGTTTGACAGACAGAGATCACGTGTGGGCAGAGGGGCAGGCAGAGAGAGAGGGAGAAGTAGGCTCCCTGCTGAGCAGAGAGCCCGAATGCGAGGCTCAATCCCAGGACCTCAGAATCATTACCTGAGCCCAAAGCAGAGGCCTTAACCCACTGAGCCACCCAGGCACCCCTACTCTTCTTTTTTTAGATCAAAACTTCAGCCCGTCATTTCTCCATATTGAACTTCTGTCTTCAAAAAATACTGTCTTTCTCTGTTGGTTTTGTGCTATTTTAAATTTAAAAAATTATACCTTCTATTTCTTTAATCAAGTTGTTAATAAAGTTATAAAGCATTTAGGGCTAAGAGTAGTATCTGAGGACAGTTATTAGAATGATCCTTCCTGATTGGTTCAATCCATTTATAACATTCTTTGTTGTTATTCCACCAGTTACTAATCTATTTTAAAAGCCTCTGGCCTGGGACACCTGGGTAGCTCAGTGGGTGGCTCAGTGGGTTAAGCCTCTGCCTTCGGCTCAGGTCATGATCCCAGGGTCCTGGAATCGAGCCCTGCATCGGGCTCTGTGCTCAGCGGGGAGCCTGCTTCCCCCTCTCTCTCTGCCTGCCTCTCTGCCTACTTGTGATCTCTATCTATCAAATAAATAAATAAAAATCTTAAAAAAAAAAAAAAGCCTCTGATCCTCATGCCTTCATTTTGGCCACTCGTTGATTTCCATGCCTTCTTATTCCTCCAAAATCTCATATGCATAAGAAGCACACGATTTCAGTGATTATGCATATCTATTCTCTATCCAGTCTCTGATCTTCAGTTTCAGACAGGTACAGACAGAAATTCAGATACACTTGACAAATGGCAGTCTAATGAAGTATTTCGTTTTTTCAAACTTGGTTTTCCTTTGAGGAATCCTATAGGAGGCTTTTGCTCTATGACACTGTTGATGTTCTTTTGACATTTGCCTCTTTATACTTGAATCACACCTACTGACATGGAGGTTCATCAGCATTTTAACAACAGATGTTTCTTGAATTTCACCATTTGGCCAGACTATATCACACTGAGTACCCTAAGCTAGAGAATTTAGATCAGTTTGAGGTGCCTGATGAAACAGGTCCATTTGACATGACAGTATGCTATATGGTATTTGAATTATATAATACATGAGTATCTTCTATTTGGGAAGTTCTCTAATCTTTACTGGTGATGAGTATAAGCAAAGACAGGTTTTTCAAAATTTCTCCATATATAATTTGCTCATAATTTCTCTTATAGAATTTCTTATCAGAAATCTGTCATTAAATCTTCTCCAGAAAGTACACACAAGTGATCAGAAATAAATTACTATCATTATTTTTTTAATATTTTATTTATTTGACACAGAGAGAGAGAGAGATCACAAGTAGGCAGAGGAGCAGGTAGAGAGTAAGGCGGAAGCAGGCTCCCTGCGGAGCAGAGAGCCTGATGTGGGGCTCGATCCTAGGACCCCGAGACCATGACCTGAGCCGAAGGCAGCGGCTTAACCCACTGAGCAACCCAGGCGCCCCAATTACTATCATTATTGTGTGTGTACAAAGTTATTGTTCTTATTTGTATAATTATTTCGGTTTCTGAATAAAATATTTTCATGAATCAAAATCAGCTTTAAGACTAATATCCCTTGGGACTCCTGGGTGTCTCAGTCAGTTAAGCAGCTGCCTTCTGCACCGGTCATGATCCCAAGGTCCTGGGATTGAGTCCTGCATCCCGCTCCTTGCTTAGCAGAGAACCTTCTCCCTCTGCCTGCTCTGCCTGCCACTCCCCCTACTTGTGCTCTCTCTCTGTCTCTGACAAATAAATAAATAAAATCGGGGCGGGGGGAAGCTTGTCTTAAAAAAAGAAAAAGAAGACTAACATCTCTATGTGAGAAGGACCCTGACAGCAGGATGTAGAGAAAAAAATATAGATTCTTTGAAAGAAGGACCAGGAACCACATGCAGTCTCATTTCACTGCTTATATCTTCTTAAAGATTTGAGGTAAGTTGGTAAGCTAATAACAAAAAGAGAGCAATAAGGGACCATATCTGAATAGAAGAAACTCATTAATTCTAGCTAGTGTTTCCTCTGCCCTTACTTGCTGGTGCCAAAAGGCGACCATATAAAAAATGATATCATAGTGGATTATGAAACATCTTTTTAAATTTTTTCCTTAGGTCATAAGTAATAGTAGCAGTAGTAATAATAATAACAACAATTATTTAATAAGCACCTACTATAGGTGACCAAAAGCTTGGAAATATAGACAAAAATGCACAATAAACAGTTACTAATATTACAATGTATGATTTGTTCAATGGGCTTTCTGATATATTCAGTGTATTGTCTTTCATCACGTGGTCATCATCCTGATAAGCTTTGTAGAACTTACATTTTACAGTTAAAAGACATGTGCTTTGGAAATCCTTTGAACAATTTAAGGCATTGCCAATACCTTGGACGCTTGGCAAGTTGGCCAGTTTGGACTGGTTACAACTATGGCTATGACTATTTCCTTCACCTTATTGGACATCTTGTGGTATTTGTGTTTCCAGTTTTTATGGATACCCTACATATGTTGAGGAATCTTCTTTTTTTTCATGTAATCCTCATAACAAATCTATGGTTGGCTTCTATTATTACTTACATTTTACAGAGGAAGAAGTGGAGGTAGAGGGAGATTAAGTAACTTGTCCAAAATCACAGAACTGGTAAATGGAAAATTATGGGTCTTGGGTTAAGGGAAGGAGAAAAAATTAAAGGGAGAAAAATTGGTGAAGAATTAGTATGTTAGCTGGCAAAACACAAATATTTTGCTGTATGTTCATATAATCCAATTAGCTGTTAATATAACCTGCTCTCTGGCTTGCATATTAGATATCAGACTTTTAAGGAACACCAAAATTGTTTCCATAGAGCTTTTCTGATAACCATACTTCACAGTGGAAATGCTAGGTGGTTTTGATGAAATTTTTAGCATCTCTGTACCTTCAAAAATGGAGACGATTTTAGCTATCTACCTACCAGGTGAGTTGCTATTTGGGAATTCGAATACAAATTGTTTTTTTACTTCCTTGGAAGAAAGTCATTCTATAAAAACAAATTTGGGCTATTATAATGACAAGTGTGTGAGTGTACATTAATTTCCCCCTTATGTTGTTATTGCCAGCAGATGGAGGTCGAAATTGAATTGCTGCTGACTGTTGTCCCTTGTTATGGCCTGTGGAGATATGACAATTGAGGAAGAACTTAGAGGAATGCCAAGTAGCAGAGCATGAAGCAGTGGGTGTGACCCACTGCCTTGGACATTTTATGGCGGATAGCATTTGGCAAGAAAAAACCTGCATCCTCTATAGTGGTCTTACAAATAGATCTCAACATTAACCATGCCCTCACCCATATTTGATTTGCCCTGTAATATATCCATTTGCCAAAATCCACTCTTCTAATTGTCAGCTAACTCACTAGTCCCCTCACAAAATACCTAAAATAACTAAATAAATCATGCTGGAAGACATTTCTTTGTTTCATTGTAAATTTAGGCACAGAAAGTTGAGGCAATGCATATGGAACTTCTTGTCCATTCTACTTTGATTCCCTTTGGGTTTGTCCTGGTTTTTTGGTCTGTTTATTTGTCCAGAGATTATTACCTAGAGAGTCCTTGGGTGATCTTCCAGTGGTGCCTGACCCAGGGGAATTAGAAGCACAGTTTCTGTGCATGCTATCCTGTACATTTTTTTTTTCCCCATTAGGAGAGAGTCTGTGGCTTTCACAAGATTCTCAAAGGGGTGTAGGACTTCAAAAGCTTATGAATTCCTGCTTTGGATCTTTGGTTTATGGGGCAGTGAAACTTTGTATGTTTGCTTTAACGATCGAGACACAGCATTTTATGTGAATGAGAACAAGGGAGTGGTGGAGAAAAACAGCTTGGAGGGCATTATTATCTTTCCCAATCTTCATTTCTTGTCATGAATTATTAATCATGAGGTAACACTTCATCTGATGCTTTGAAAACTCTCCCCCTGGTAAGAACAGCCTAATTGAATTGGAGGAAGTGGAGCAGGAAGAGCTAAACGTGGACATTGATGGTTTCACCAAAAGCAATTATACACCCTACAGCCTTCTCCACCTGTTTGAAAACCCAAGGCCCACTAATTCTCATGCCACAAGGGAACGGATGGGAAAGTAGAGGAAAAATTAAAATTGTGGAGCTTCAAACATATCCTCCTTGAGACTACTTCATTATAGCTAAGGGGTGTATGGGGGGATAAGGGAGGATAAGTGGTGTGGGCAGGGGTCTGATATACGGGAGATGAGGGCGTAAACCAGTTCAGTCTCTCTCGAGGGCATTTTGGCAGAGTAACAAAAACTTTAACACAAGCATACTTCTACCCAGTAATTCCAATTGCAGCAATGCATATATCTTAAACTTTAAAATAATTCATATGCATAATAGAATATGGAAGAGTCATTAGAAATCATGATGAAATACATTTTGATATGAAACTATGGTTTTGATATTTTGTGTAAAAAAGGCAATAAACCAGTATGTATGTACACAGAGTATAGTATAATACACATTGATGAGAAATGTAATACTACGGAACTGAGGAATATGTGCCTTAAGGCACATTTTGATGTAATATAAACATGGAAAATGTCTGGTAGGATATGCACTAAATGATAAAAATGGTCCCCAGTGGCTACTGTGATTGCAGTTAATTTATTTTTGCTTATCTTTATTTTCATTTCATTTTCTGCAATAAGCATATACTTTTTTGTCATTAAATGTACAGATACAAATTTAGACAATATCTTCTTTTGAAAATATAGACTCCAGGTCAAAAATAGTTGTATTAGCAGAGGACCAACTCTCGCCAACTCCCAAAGGTTGGGTCCCACACACAGAAACTGAAACAGACAGAGGTGATGGAGAATGCCCTTCCTCCTTGCAGATGACCAGGAGAGGCCAGCCTGGGCTTTTTTCCTGGGACTGAACCACTCCTTTCTTTTCACAGCCAGGTCACACCAAGGGAGTTTCAGCTATGTCAAATGGTGCATAGAAGGCTTTTAAAGACATTTGGAAATAAAAGGAAAAAATTCAAAAACAAACCAACAAAAACCCCCAAATAAAACATCTTGACTCTACCAGAATTTCCTACTTTGTGCTGCTTACATGCTGACTTCCCTCAGCTGCCTGTGCTTACTCTGATCATGGCATCTTCTGAACTGGGCTGGAATTACCCTGTCTGTCCTCCTTGCAGAATGCACACTCTCTGTGTCTTAGTTTCCACTCTACCCCAGTGCCTAGCCCAACACTCCCAACATCAGTGAATGCTGAGTGAATACACTATAAAAGCAATGGATGGATGAAGGGCAGCAAGAAACTACCAACTTTGCTACGCTGGATTCCCAAAAAGCAAATGCAATGAAATCCAAGGGCGGGAAACAGATATTTCTGCAAAGAGTAGAGTAGAACGGGCAGGTGTCTCCAAGGGATAGGAAAGGAGGACTCAAGATGGTGCCTGTGGGGACTGGGAAGGGCTAGCAAGGAGAGAAGGGGTGCTGCAGAAACCAAGCTAAAGTGAAAAGGCAAAGATGGGTTGTTGCAGTTACATTCTATGATTGTAAATGACATTACTGCAGGCATGGGGGAACAAAGGTTGTTTAGTTTGCAGAGAAGTGGATTCTTGAATGGGTGAAAATTAAATCTGCGGGATGATTTGATGTGGAGACAGCACACAAGACGATTTTAGCCACGTAAACAAGAATGGCCGTGTGCGATGATTTCTATTCAACCCCCCTGGCTTCCTGGCCTAAGCTGATTATTATTAAGCATTTATGTGGCATTTCATATGTACAAGTGCTTTACAATCATTTATTATTTATTCCTCACAACGTGAGAAAGCCACAAATCAAGGGCAGGGATAAAGTTAATACAATTTTATTAAACAAGAGGGGTGTGCCTAGCAGCAGGCTCAGCTACAACCAGGGAGTGTGACCTCACAGGAGAGAAGAAACATGACAATTACTTTTTCTTTTTTTGTGTTGCAATTTACACTTTTAATCAGTATTAAGTCAGGTGACCTTGCACACCTGGGAGAGCTCCTGGGAGCCTGGAAACCTGGTGTGCCAACTCGAGGGAAAGCCTGCCTCAGAATCTGTCATTTCCATCACCAGTTTCCTCCCTCCCTCCCCTTTCCTGCTGTCTCCATTTTATTTCTTCTATTTCATTTCTCTTTTTCTGTTTTTTCCATCATGCCCCATCTCTCCTTTTGTTTGTTCCTATTTCTTCCTCTCTTCATCCCTGTCTTCTTCCCCTTCCCTTTCATCTCTCTTTCTGACTCTCTTTCTCTTCTCTGCTTCTTTCCCTGCTTGCTGTCTCTCCTTCTCTCTCCTCCCACAGACACACAGAGATACACACAGACATTACACACAGAGAAAGCAGCAGAATCTAATTGTAGGAGGTACAAAAGGTCATTTCCTCTTTAAGACAGCAGTCCTTCACTGCCTTCTTCTGAGACCTGACACATGGAAAATTTTAACTCGATTTGTACAGAGAGAATAATGCCAGTGTTAATCCAAGTTGCTTGGAAGGTCATTTAAAAACCATTCCAGGTTGTTTTACTCCCACTGCTAGTGTTCTTCAGGCACTTCTCATAAATGCTAATGAATAATTCACCTTGGTAGTATAGACAAACACAGGCTGGTGGTGTTATTTGGAAATCATTCAAATTGACTAATTAGTCATTTCCCTTAGATTTTATTTAACAAAGGAAAAAGGATCTTGAGATATTTGGTAAATCATACATTACGTTACTAAAATCTTAATAACTCATATTAATTTGGGGAAGGGCTGAACACATTTAGTGAAAAAGCCTGAATGGTTGCAATTTTTTAAAATTATATATAAATTTATTACATTCTAGGTAGAATCTTATTAGACACTGAACAAAAATATCTTAGCTAGAGGTCCTAATTTTGAGAAATAGATAAGAATCATTTGTTATTAATACATATATTGAAACAAAGAATAATAAATGAACACTCTCCCTAAAATCACTTTAAATACTATTATTCATTCATGACCACCTACTATGTGTAGGATACACTGTTCTGCATTCAAGCAATAGAACAGGCAACTGACACAAAAAGTCCTTACTTTCATGCAGTTTACATTCTAGTGGGGATATTTTATAAATATAGAGAAAGGTAATTGTTAGATGATTAGATAGATAAAAATGAATGGATGTCACATAATGACAAGTGGTAGGCAGAAAATAGAAAGTGATTGGGTATGTTTTGGGGTATGTTGGATGCTATTTTTGGAGAGGTGAGGAAAAGCCTGTGGGGAAGGTGACAGTAGAGCAGAGACCAAATATTGAGAAGGAATCACTGTTAGGATCTGAGCATTTCAGGGAGGTGGATAAGCAATGTGTAAGAGCCCTGAGGTGGGAACAAGCTCTCTGTGTTAAAATCTCATGTGTTTATAGCCTAGTGAAAAACAAAAGAGTGGTAGGAGAAAAGGGCTAAGTCTGGCCAGAGACCAAATCACATTGTTTCTTTCTTTTGCTTATTGAACTTTTCCTAGTTATTATTTCATCCTAGTGACTAAATCACTGCAATTTTCCATAACTGGTAGGAGCAGGATGAGTTTGTTCAGTTGTGACCAATATATCTCCCCTCTGCACACATTTACTTTTAAACCTACAACCATTCCCTATTCAGGCCAGTAGATGTAAGTCTTCAATGTACCAATAAAGAGAAACCTCAGAGAACCTTGGTTTTTCAACTCAGTGAAAAGCAGAACATAATTAAAATAATATGTAATAAAGCACATTCATGGATTTTATTCTCAGGATTATATTAAGATCCTCTTAGTTGGATAGATGAAGATTTCTGCATTCTATTTGCCCTTTTCCAACCCAGACAAAATCCATGAAAGAGGAGATAGATGCCTGACCTGACAGCTACCATCTTTGGAGCTGTAGGCACTCTGCCAAAACTCTTCTCCATGCTTTACTCCTTCACCAGGAAGTGAGAGTCTTCCCAGTTCACATTGGATCCCATTGCTGCTAGTCCAGTGGTCTCCAGCCAATAGCCTGAATTTTAACACATACTTAGAGAGAGATGTGGTGAGTCAGATAGGGATGGACCTTGAAAATAATGTTGGATGATGTTGTCAATCTAAATAAAGAAGTAAACTAAGGCAAGTTCAAAATTGCCAAAAATATGAGCTTATTCAGAAATAGCAGAGGAGTTGAAATTCAGGGCATATAAACTGTAGCAAGCTATAGACAAGTCTGTTAAGGGTTTGGGGCAGACCATATTTATGGGCAGGGAATGTAAAGAGAGGAAAGTTTAGTTAGAGTCTATTAAGAAAAAATTATGACTAGTTTTGAAAATTCCCCAAGCAGACAAAATCATTCCAGTCATACAAAGCTCAATTCAGCTTATTTTGTGAGACCCACCCAATCTGGATCATTTCTTATTCATGTCTCTAACAACCAAAAGCAA